TGTACATATACATACATAAGCAAATAACCGCGCACCCACACGCACATACATACATACATACATGCACACATACATACATACATACATACATACATACATACATACATACATACATACATGCAGACATGCAGACATGCAGACTTGCATACATGCATACATACATCGAGCTTATCGGGCTTTTCGGGTTTAGCGGAGCATGGTCCCTAATGTCCGCGCGCCATGCATACATACATGCATGCATGCATGCATACATACATACATGCATACACATATATACATACATACGTATGTACATGCGCACGTATGTACTACAGTTGTACACACATACGTACCTACGTGCCCACGTACATACATGCATACATGCATACCAACAAACATGCATACACGCACACATATCTATACATACATGCATACAAACATACATACACACATGCATGCTAGACTGACTCTGCCTGAGCCCCCATGTACCAGCCAATGTGGCATGGATTGCTCTGCAAAGTCCCTTGTCCGTCATAACCTTTATAGAGACGGGCTGAGACACCTAATGGATTTGGAGCCTTCGGTCGCCATGTGCTGCCTACCTCTCTTGCTGACCTCGAACCCATGAGGTTTGATGCTCCCTGCCTTCGTCGTCCTCCTCCTCACTGACGTCGCCTCCGATAGAGTTCAGGGTCCAGCTATAACTATTGAAGGGCATGACGGAAGATTATCTTGGGTCCACGGTGACTTTCCTGTTCAGGATCAGCGCTAGTGCCCCAAAGGCTCCCCACGGCGCACCGTCTGACCACTGGGCATCGTCGTCCAGCGGCTCCCGGCCGTCCTCGCCTTTGCCCTTGGGAGGATCCCGGCCTGTTCAACAGCTCTTGAAGACCCCAGTGCTTCCGGGATCCGTCAGGGACAGTAAGAGTAGCCGCATCTATTGCTCGTTGTTTTATATGGCTTTCTGTCAAAATTACGATATGAACCACTAGACACTAGACACACGGTCGATGACACAGGTGGAACCGGAGGCACAATCTCCGCTGGAGGACACGTGAGCAAGCTCGGAGATGATGAGAAACATGCACATGCTCCATGAGGACAGCATATGTAGGTCTGTGCGCGAGGAGGTACTGTTTCTTGGGTCGAAGGAGAAGTTTTTTCTTGCTCTGCAGAAGGATCGAGATCTAGAAATATGATGCGTGGACGCACTCTGGGGGAACGTGGTTTCGGCATCTGAAATTCTCCACGCACTCCGGACAGTTTCCGACCCGGGCAACCCAAGTGGTTGAGCAGTGAGTGGAGCCGTGTTTAACCGCACCTGAACATCTCTGAAGCCCAATCGTCACACCAAACGCTTCCAGAAATTTCTTGCGAACTTCAAACACCGAAACATCTGAAACAACATACAGAAACAGCCATCGTCATGATCATCAAAACAGTTCTGCCGGCCCTATATCCGAATTTGGCTTTCGAACATGTCTGAATCAATAGTCTTGAACACTCGTCATCATCATCATCATCATCTTTACAGTGCACATACGGTTCCAAGATTGGGATTCTGGCGCACAAGTGTGCGCGAGAGCACCACGCTAGCAGGGAACTTCTGCGGCTCAATCTCAGGCTTGCCAGCCTCCCAGGTTTAGCAAGAGATCCGCGAGATGCTCATGAGGCTTCACACGAATACGTGTGTAAAAGACTTGAAGTGCAAGTCCCACATGAACCCGCCGATCCAACAGCGTGAACAGCTCAGTCGAGACTTTGGTCTTCACGTACGTACATAGTCAGGCAGGCAAAGAGGCAGTAGTAGTCGATTACATACGCGGCAGCGGGTAGAAACTGTCACAAGCCTGTCGTTGCATGACACTCCAACGCATGGTTTTAGGACTGGACGAAGCCTGAAAGCTTGGGAAAAAATGGAAAGCAACAGATCTCAAAGCATGACGCTTACGAATGAAACCACTTGTATTGCAAACGAATCGGACCCGAAACGAAGGCTAGAGAATTCCATGCAACGCGGATCCAATCTTGCACCCTAAGCCTAAGCCCCAAGTGCCAGATAAGCCAAGTGAGGAGCCTGAACCCGGCCTGGTGACGTCCCCATTCCGGCCAGGGAGATGGGCGATTCTGAAAAGCGGGCTGCAGGCCTGGCATGGGTAAGAAGCCGGCATATGGGAGTTTCCGAAAATAAGGGGTACCTTATTTGGGGGGTCCCTATAATAAGGATCCTACTATTTAGGGTACTACATTAGGGTCCCTTATTTTCGGAAACCCCCATATAGACAGAAACAGAAATCGTCTTCACACATCACGGTATAACTCGGCACGATCATAGGAGTCATATACGTATACGGAAATAAACATATGAATCTGTGTATACATGTAGATGCATGTATGTATGTGTACATATACCTATATATATATATATATTATGTACAAATCTGATAGGCTCAATCGTATCTTCTTGCATTTGGAAACATATTGTTAGTTGCATGGTGTGTAGTATAGCGCATGCAGTCACACGTTAGCTAGACACTATAGTCACTAGACCAAGTGGAAGAAGTTGCAGGGGCTGTCACGGGCAGCAGACCAGGTTGAGCTGGGCATGTTCCCCCACTGCATCCCAGTCTCCAGGTCAAGCTAACCATTCCATTAGCAGTGCTTGATTACGTACAGAAATGGGCATGTCAGTGGTATGGGACCTGCCTGAAACCCTACATTGTTGGAACTTCAGAGCTGAAGATCTTCGGGAAAATTCCAAGGCACAAGCTGCATAGCCCGAATGCCTCCAAGGGCGTATTTGCAGTTCGTGGAGTACTCCAACCGGCGATAACCTTGGCACGATGGGGGCTGTCTGAAACTAGCAGCCAGAACCAGTCCTTTCGAAACTGAGTCGCGATAGATGCGCGACATCCGAAGTGTTTAGAAAGCAGCCTTCAAAGCAGGTTCCTTCAGTGCCGAGTCAGCACACTGGTAGGCGCTTCTCCAGACGCACTCGACCCACCGGGCGACGGGCACTGGCCCCCGTAGTTGATGATACCATAGATGTGGACCACCCGCAGTTCCTTCAAGCTTATTGTCGTGCAACCAGACTACCCCACGCCCCAAAATCGGTACAGCGGAACCCATGATCGATAAATCCATTGGTCCGTTAAGTACTGGCATAATTCGGAAGTTGAACGCGGAAGTTGGGGCACTCACTGAACCTTTAGTTGGACAGATGAGGCGTCTGGCCATGAATCGTCAGCCGGGTGCCAATCCCTTGCATCATTTTCCACTACGCACCTCCGCAAGAGTTTTGCGGAAGACTCAATGTCGAGCTGCTGTCCTGCTTTAAATTCGGAGACAGGCACGAAGCTATGCAACAAACCTTAAACCCTGAAACAGAATGTGCTTGGGCCGGCACCCGGAACACCAGCACTTCTTTCCACACTCGGCCACGGATCCTGCACTCTGTGAGCTATGTGCTGCTATAACTTTATAAATGAGTCTGAGTATATGTATAAACATTCTGTACATACATACACATACGTATATATATATATATGTATAGTATGTACAGCTCTATATATAAGCGAGAGAGAGAGAGAGGGGGAGGGAGACAGAGAGAGAGAGACACAGAGACAGAGAGACAGACACAGAGAGACAGAGAAAGAGACAGAGAAAGAGACAGAGAGAGAGAGAGAGACAGAGCAAGAGAGAGAGAGAGAGAGCGAAAAGGAGAGGGAGAGGGAGAGGGAGAGGCAGAGGCAGACACATACGTTTAGAATTTCAGCATGCCTTTCGGTTCTCAGACAGCTTAGCCGGCCCCAAACCCAGAGCCCAAACCTTAAACCCCACACCCTCAGCCTTGAACCCTGAATGCCAAACCCAAAACGGTAGCCTCGGGTGGACACCGGTCAAGACGGCGACCGCCTTGGCAGATAGATCCCCGGCAGCTGACTTCGGGTATGCATCCTCCGAGGCAAGGTTTAGAGCTTAGGGTTTAGGCTTGGGGCTAGGGTTTAAGTGACCTATGACCGCAAGTACCCGAAGCCCTTCAAGACAGAAGAACTTCGGGGGTTGTGGCGGAACCTGCATCGGAGGTTCCGCCTGCAAAGCGTGATGGGAGAAGCGTCCCAGGGGTACACAACTCTGCGACATTCCCAAGGACAATTAGAATAGACATAAGGGAAGACCATTCGAAATTACTCCGACCCCTATATAAGTATGGTCTACCTTTCATCTGCTCGAGGCTGAGGATGACACGGCGCCGTCGGGAATCTCCTCCTGCAGGAAGAAGAGGATGTCCTCTTGCTGCAGGGACCGCCGACTTGAGGCACTTGAGGCCGAGTGGGTGTGGGGTTTTGGCATGTGGGAACGAGGCTCAGGCAGCTCCTGGTTCTGTGGCTTTGGGGTTCCAGGGCATGGCGTGAATTCAATGAAGTCACAGAGCCTGCGGAACCGCCGGCTGCGCAAAGAAGATGCGCCGCACGGGCCTCGATACGATTATCTTGCATTTGGCGACTTTGACTTGACAGGTACCCAGCACTCGCTAAAACACTGAAAGGCTCGATCTTCGTAATTTTGGTCGTGCTGGTGCGGACCGACAGGGCTTCCAAGGACCTCAAACCTCGTCAGACTGGAACATCAAATTCCGCACCAAAAGCTCGGGCATGAGCCCTGGAAGGTTGTGCAAGTACATCCGCATCCAGCCCGAAATAGTACTGTCCAGCCTGCATCCTACACTCCAAGTTTCAGGTGCCCCTAAACACATTGAGTTCGAGTTCGAGGCTCGAAGAGCTCGGCAATGAAACCTTCTGACGCATCCAGATCCTGGAGCCATTGCTTGCGGTCGTTCGGGTCTAGGGCTGAGGGTTTACAGTTCTGGTTCGCGCTACCAGGGCTTGGAGCTTTCAAGCCGAAGCTGCAAGCCAAATCCCTTGTCAGTCGGGATCTGAAGCTTGCACGACCCTCCCTCCCCGAAAGGCTGGATCCTGGACTTGCCGTTGCACCGGCCTCGACGTCATAGATGCGATCTGCATCCGTGAGGACGGGAAGTGCCTGGGGATCTGAGCTTCACTTGCCAATTTGAGAGCGGCACACCCCACTTGAAATCCCTAAAAGCTTGGGTGTCCGACGTATTTCGGGCTGCCGGGTGATAGCAACAAGCCTCTACCCACCAAAGTCTCAGTGGAGACTTAGCACCCTTGCCGGACAGCCGGTTCAAGCCACCAAGCCAACAATCAACCTTGCAAGGCCTGGGGCCTTCGTTACATGAAGGCGGAAATCCTACAAGCACTTGGTCAAGAAGGCATAGCGTGGAATTCAGAGAGCACATGTTTCGAGAACCTGACTCCGAAATCCGCACAGGGCCCGGCATTGCTGGGTCGTTCCGTCCAATGCAGTGTCCTGACTGAGGCTGATCTTTGTCATCCGCAGGCATCCGGACCAGGGCGGAGTACCATACCCACTACTGCCAGTCGTGCTGTTCGTAGTGTAAGAAGAAGTAGCAGTAGCAGTAGCA